AAAGTAATTCACAGAACCTATACAAATAAAACATGATTTAATTTGCCACATTTAGTCAACCTTTAACTCCACATAGAAGGAAGAACATTACTTAAGTTGATCAATGTTTTCATCTCATACACTTAGCAAAACAGGACTCTACTACAAATATCAAATACCTTCATTAACTCATATTGCAGGTCATCAATCTGGTTCTTCAACTCGGCATTCTCAGTATCCCGGCTGTTGACTGCGTCCTGTAACTGGGCAACTCTCAATGTCATGGTATGATGGCTCTCATGTAATGTGGTACTGAGGGCTTGGAGCCGACGGTTCTCTGCAGTAACTTCCTCATTTGTTGCCCTTATTGTTTCATCAAGGGACGGAGCTGGGGCACCTTCTAGATGAAAAAATAATTTGATTATGAGACAATCTAAATTCTTTTTTAATTTACAAGTGTTGCTTTAATTCAATTAAAGATAAGGTCTTTTTAAAAATCTGTTAAGTAGTTTTTGTGGCAAAAACATGTTCCAGTACAACCACCTGTGGTGTTTATTTAATTTAATAACGAAATTCAAACTTACAGATGAGTAATTAATTATCATTATAATCCAATAGGCAAGATTTCTTGCCTATTGCCTTGTTAGGCATTTGCCTAACTTGAAATTTTTATTTAATGAAATTGCCTTTCTTCTGGCATTCTACTATTATATTATTCAACTCTCCATGGGTAGCAGTATCATGACGTAATACCAGATGAGCCTCCTGCCTAATTACTCATTTATAAACAATAATTTCCATCTGATTTATGAATTAATTACATACCGTCACCTTCTCCTTTTATTGCCCTCCATATTTTATCATTTCTCTGCTGCAGCCTGTCAAAAGCCTGTAACACTTTCGCTACTGCTCTTTTGCTCACTTGTACTCTGTTTGCCAGTTGAGCATCCAGTTCTTCTTTATCCCAAGTTGATAATTGCATAAGAAAGGATGTGGTTGCTTCATTCTCATCTATAAAATGATATTGATTTAGCAAAGTAACTTTAACAGAATCCAAACTGTACAAAGAGATTAGATTACACAATTGTTTTCTTACAAAACATGGTTTCTGATTAGGTGATCCAATCCATATATAACCTGTAATATAGAAATCCGTTTCTAAAGAAAATAAGTTTCAGTAAAATCAGTTTCCTTTAAAGCAAAATAAACAGTAAAACAGTTGCAGAAACATTTTCCTATTGAAGATTACATCACATCAATTTTTACAGTCAGAAACAATTTCATGATGATAGAAAACAATAAGACCACCAATTAAGACTGTTAAAACAGATTTCTTTAGTATTTAACTTATTACAAAAATAGTTGTAAAAAAAGTATATATCGTCCCCGTAGAGCGAAAATTCATTAAGTCCAAAAAACCTGTTTCGAGATAATGAGGGTTTTGAAAAGTTTTGAAATATATAAATTGCCATAACTTTAGCATGTCATGACATATTTTAATGTTTTTCGTTTCATTTTGAAGGAAATCAAATTAAGTTAAAATGATGCTAGCTACTCAAAGTGATGATTAAGTTATTACTGAGAAAACCTGAAAAAAAAAAATAGTTATTTGTTCTCTGTAGAATATCCAATGTAGCTATGAATTAGTTATTATTGCCCCTAGTTAGTGATTTTTCACTCAGATCGAGTTTATTTTTATGATAAATAACTTGAGTTGGGTAATTTTCGCCTAACTGGTAGATATACAAAATATACATAATGAAAAAAAACTTTTTTTTAACTTAATAGTTAAAAGGCATTTTGTTTATAATAGTATAAAATCAAACTACTTTTATATAAAAACATCTTCTACACTTCCTATGGATTAAAAAATTAAAAATAAAGTAATTAAATCATTTATTTTTATAAGCTATGTAAGTTTTTGATAAATAAAAAATTGTTAACATGATTTAGTTATTTCTCTTATTTTCTATTAGGACCAAAGAATAGATTTATTTAATTTTCACTTTTTGTAAATCGGAAACTAGGATACCTACAAAATTGACAGTTAGACAGTTAAATAAAGAAAATTAATATAGTTTTAATGGCATAGATAACTCGTTTTGGCAATTTTTTTACTTAATTAGTTTTCGCTCTACGGGGACGATATGCATGCTCTAAATTTAAGAAGTTAAATTTTTTAATAATATAAACAATATTTGATCAAGATATATTGCTGTAATAAAATATTGTTTATACAGTTTATATAAAAAAAATATTACTTTTGTTCTCAGATTCATCAGCTGTTTCTGCATCAAACCTTTGCAACAATACTCTAATATCTTCATTTAATAAATTCCAGTATCTGTTGACAACACATAATACAGCATCATCCTGGGTCTGGCGCTTCTCTAACTGTTCTATCCTAGCTCGTAGCTCAGCCTCACACCTATGGCGTTGTTCTATTCTCTGAAACATAGGAAATAAAGCCACATAAGAGAATTTAAGATATTCTAAATAATTGCATGAAAATTGAAATTAATTTACAATAGCCCATTTCATATAAATTAAATTTTTGATAACTGTGCATTGCCTATACCATATTTTCAGTTTTTATTTACTTTTCTTAGTGGGGTCCTACCCTTAACCATACAGAAACTAAAATACCTTAAGATACAGCTGATTAGATATTTTGGCTTAAATTTACACACAACTTAATGATGTTCATAGAAGAAATACATATCAATACTTTCAATCTGAAAAATGGATATAATGCTAACCTGAGCTAACTTTTTGTTCTGGAATTGTAGGACTTTTATGTCCATTTCTTCCAGCGTGGACACTGGACCTATTAGGTGCGGTTCAAAGTGAACCTTCTTAATCGGCGGTTGATTGCTGCCATTACCGCTATCTTCAGCTGTACGTTTCGACATCTTGGCCTTAAATATTTAAGAAATATACTTGTATGAAGAAATACATATTATTGATTATATTAAGCAGAGAAATACAAATGCCATTTATAAAAGCAACATCGCATTTAAATAGAAACTCTCACCATTTGGTTGGTTAATACACTTACCTGCTTGTCAATAATGACAACCTAATAAAATTCTATTAAATTAATATGTCGTAAGTGTGGAGGGATTTACGATAACTAACCACGCTAAATTTTACCATGTTTTTAAATTATTTATAAGATAGCAGCTTTAATACACAATTTCTACAGTTTCTATGACAGAAAACGTAACCATTAACCAAGTACCAACTCGACTCTCCCTCCCTCGCACAAAAAACTAACCAACAGCGTTCAGTGTTGCCCATTCGCTCTTTATGATATTTTGTTCTTGTTGCATAGATAGTAGCAACTAGCATGGCTTTGATGGATAGCATTGTAGTGCGTTTTCCAATTACAGAGCATTATGTGACTCAGTGCCGCACAATGCCGCATAATGCTGAAGCTTAATTGGAACGTGAATTAGTTTTCAAATGCATCAGCAGAGTGCGCTAAGTCAGTGTTGAAAAAAAAAATATTCTGAATAGTGTTAGCTCCTTAACCTCATTAATGTATAAATAATTTAGGTTAACAATAATAATTGGTTGAAAACTTTTTACGCTTATTTTAATAATCAAATTATTTCATTAACATTTTTTTACTGAAATAAGAGAAAACCTTTAAAGAATATAAGGTTTTAACAAGCTAAATTAACAGTAAAATATATGGTTTCATGTAAGAAGTTTACATCATTTACGTTTTGAGTAATTTTTTTTAAATGATTTCTAAAAAAAAATTATATATTTTTCAAAACCATTGCAATATTTACAAAAGTATAATCCTGTAAAATAAATTTGTTTACAGATCCGATTTTTAAATAAAATTGTATTCATATTTTAAATGTGGAATATAAAAAAAGTAACTATTTATACCTTCATCCATACTTATATTTATTTTTTTTAGCAGTTTGAAATAACTTTAATTATTTTCAAAATCTACGACGAAACGAAAGCCTTAAAAAATTTTCAACAATAAATAATATTTACTAACGAAAATTTCGATAAATGCCAACTTAAAGAAAAACACTGGTCAATTTTCTGTCACTATGTTGGTATTTATTGCGAGAAGCACGCGAGAGCATTCGTTTTGAGAGTGCTCAATTGCGCGAAGCGTTGCTGTAGTTGGAACATTCAACGTTGAGCATTATGCCGCATAATGCGCTCTAGTGCTGTAATTGGAAAACGCACGTAGCATACTTTGACCGCAAGTTTTTTTCAATCTATCCTAAATAATGTAAGATGTTTTTTTTATTTTAGCCTAAAGGTGTACTAGAAAAAAAATAACAATTTTAACATGAAATGAAAAAAATTATACAATTCAGGAATTACAGAAAATCGATTGCATTTTCGATCATAGTCGTAGATTTTTACATTTCGACTTCGCATTGCATTTTTGTGTACCAGCCCAAATGTAGGGATGCCTAACCATGTACAATTGTAGTCTCGTGGTAACCGTCACGTTTTAATTTCTTTTCAATTTGTCATCAAAATGTTAAAAACTTAATGGGATAATTTGTATAATTTTGAAGGGATGGCGGAATATGTGACTTGCAACCCTGCCGCGATCTGTTATTTCTCAATTCTCGTATGCAATAGCAACTGTCAAACTAAGGGCCTCATAGGCCATAGCCTAGCGGTGATTCCGTCGTTGCGGGTATAAGTGTTTACACGTGTTTCGGATATCATTATTTAGTATTTTCTATTTTTTCTCGTAGTTTAATGAATATAAGTTGACTTATCCTATTGGTGGTGGTTAATTAATAACATCAACTAATTACGTAAGTTATTTTTATTTATTTGTTATATTTCTCCATTTACCTTGTTATATTTTTGGTAGTCTATAATGGAGAAACGCCCTCCAGACCCCCCTGATCCTCCGGATAGGGTCTCTTCTCCGGTGGAATCAATGGATTTATCCACCCCACTGTTGCCCCAACCTGGTGTCAAGCGCAGACTTGATACTATCAATGAATCTTTAGTGGAACCTTCCAAAAAACCAATGACCGATGCCCGGTCATCTGTTGATGACGTCAACCCAGGATTTTACTCCCATCCATCTCTCACTGGCTCTCCCAAGTCATACCTTGTCAATGACAAGGGCCCTTTTTTAGTCCATGTTTCTTGCCCTGAATCTGACCCATCCGCTGGTACATCAATCCGCCCAATTAAATTTGGTCACTTCTTGGTAAAAAATAAAGTAAGTAACATTGTTCGTGATGGTGTTAAAAGAGTGGGACGTAACAGAATATCTGTTGAGTTTAAGTCGGGCTTAGATGCGAATAATTTTGTGTCTAATCCCATTGTACCTTCCAGCAACTATTCTGTTACGATTCCTAACTATAATGTTTCCCGTATGGGCCTTGTGAGAGGTGTCCCAGCTGATTGGTCGATGCAGGAATTTGTCGAAACTTTGGAAATTCCCGAAGGTACAGGTATAGTCCTCAAGGCCAGACGCCTAAACCGCAAGACGAACTCCGATGGTCAAATTAATTGGATCCCAACACAAACCGTTGTTCTAACTTTTCAAGGTCAAACCCTTCCTGAGAGAATATTCTCTTGTCATAGTTCCCTCCGCGTTGAAACGTACCAACTCCCTACAATTCAGTGCCTTAACTGTTGTAGGTTTGGTCACGTAAAGTCACAATGCCGATCGAAGCCTAGGTGTTTTCGTTGTAGTCTAGCCCATTCTGGTGATGAGTGTAATATCCCTGAAACAGAGTCATTATGTTTATTTTGTACTGCCTCACACTTTGCGACTAACAAAGCTTGCCCTGAACATAATCGACAAAAAAATATAAAGAGTTGTATGTCTCAAGAGAGCATTTCTTATCTCGAAGCATCGGCTCGGTTTAGACCTATCAGTGGCAAAACTTTTGCAGATTCTGTAAAAACAACCCCCTCCTCTTTATCCCAGCCCATTACTTTACCTTCCCAAGTTTCCCGTCAGACTACATCTTACAGGAAAACTGTATTTCTCCCTCCTCGCTCTAGACCAACATCAGGAAAATCCTTTGATAAGGCGGCCCATGAGGCCATTACTTCCAATTTACCCTCCTCTTTACCCAATGGTTGTGCCGTAAGCTCCCCTTCCCTTATCAACAATGAAGTCTCCCCAAATGAAAATCTTCTTGACTGCTTATGGGCAGTCATTTGTAATATGCTATCCAAGTATGATGGCATCCCCATACCGTCCCACGTTGCCCAAAAAATTAATTTGCTCCACTCATTCGTCACCAAAAATGGCGAATCTGGTAATTCAGTGGAACTGTAACAGTATTCGCAGTAAAAAATCAGAATAAACCTTTCTTATCAATAAATTCGCTCCATCTATTCTAGCCATTTCGGAGACTTGGTTATTGCCGGGTTCCCGCTTTAGGGTTTCTGGGTACCGGTGTCTCCGAGATGACAGGGATGATGGCTATGCTGGCTGTGCCTTTTTGGTCAGCCGATCCCTCACCTTCCACGCATTATCTCTTCCTCATTGTGATAGTATTAATGCTGTTGCTATGAGAGCTTTTAATATCTCGTTTATTTCTGTTTATATTCCCCACCCCCATTTCGACCTCATTTCTGATATACGTTCTATTATCCTTTCGGTTCCTCCTCCTGTTGTCATGTTGGGTGATTTCAATGCCCACCATGTTTCTTGGGGTTGTCATTCCTCAGATTCTTTTGGGTCCCTTCTACTAGATTTACTCGATGATATAAACATAAGTGTCTTGAATAATGGTTGTCCTACGAGAAGGAGTCTTCCATCTCAGAATCCCGCTAACGCAGTGGATTTATCACTTTGTTCTCCTGATCTTTTCCCTTTTCTATCCTGGCGTGTTTTTAAGAGCACTTGTGGGAGTGACCACTTCCCCATTTTAATTGATCTCCCAACCAATTTAAGGAGCGTTACTCGCCCTTCCCCTCTTTTAAAATTTAAACTGAATCAGGCCAATTGGTCAGACTTTTCATCTTCTATTGACTCTAAGATAGCTGCGCTCCCCGCAGTCTCTGCTGAAAACTGCCTATCTTCATACAATGATTTTGTCAACTCCCTCATCTCATCTGCCAGTTTACATATTCCACTCAAAACTTCTACACAAAGGAAAATTTCTCCTCCTTGGTGGTATTCCGAATGTACTGAGATGATTCGAAAAAGAAAAACGGCAGAAAGGTCACAGTCTTTGCATGACCTTGGAAATTTTTTTAGTCTACCAACAAGCTTCTGCAGCTGCTCGCAGACTTCTAAATAATAAGAAACGTCTTGGTTGGCATAAGTTCTGTGAGAGCATGTGCCCTGGTACCCCTTCGTCTGTTGTTTGGAGGCAGATCAGAAGATTCCGTTGTTCCCTCAATTCTTATGATGTCCCATTTAATGATCCGTCTAGCTGGATTACCTCCTTTGCCGACAAATTGGCTCCTCCATCAGTCCCTTTTTATGATTGTCTTCCTTATAAGTATAATTCTTACATCCCCTCTTCAAACAGTCTAGATTGTCAATTCTCCTTGGAAGAACTTAACAAAGCATTAAATGGTCTCTCTGACTCTTCCCCTGGAGAAGATGGAATCCCTTACTCATTCCTCATAAATTCTTCATTAGGCACTAAGAGGTACTTTCTAGATTTAGTAAACTGTTTTTTCGATCTTGGAATTATTCCTGAATCGTGGAACAGACAAATCGTCATTCCGCTTCTAAAACCTGGCAAAGATCCATCAGATTTCTCTTCATACAGACCTATTGCTTTGTCTTCTACCCTTTTAAAAATCATGGAACATTTGATTAAAATTCGTTTAGAATGGTTTTGTGAAAGTAACAATATCTTTGCAAAATCCCAGTTTGGTTTCAGGAAAGGCTTAAGTACGATGGATAGCCTAAGTATAATAACGACCGACATTCGCATTGCTTTTAAAAAGAAACAGTTCCTGGTGGGTGTTTTCTTGGATATCGCATCTGCGTATGACCACGTGCTGGTTCCGGTGCTCAGGCAAAAAATGCTTCAGCTGAGTATTCCTGAGAAGTTGGTACGTTTTGTTTGCAATGCAGTTTCGAATCGTTATATTATTATAAGATCTCAAAATACGGAGCTGTCTCCTAGATCTATTTGGAGGGGCTTACCTCAAGGTTCTGTTTTGAGTCCTCTTCTGTACAACATTTACACCTATGACCTGGAGCTTGTTGTGAATTCCTTCTGTCAGATTCTTCAATACGCGGACGATGTAGCCTTATACTTTTCATCAAATTCTATTGAAGAGGCATCATCACGCCTAAATTCGGCTTTGGATTATTTGGGTGATTGGTTAAATGATCATGGTCTCTCTATTTCTGTGCCCAAATGTTCGGCGGTCACGTTTACTACAAAATACAAGGTTCCACGATGTAACATTTCATATAAAGGGTCCTTGGTATCGTGTTGTAAGCAAGTAAAATTTTTAGGCCTTATTTTAGACTCAAAGTTAAACGGTGTTCCTCATTTTAACCATGTGATTAAAAAAAGGGAGAAGGGTGTTAATGTTCTCCGTTCATTATCTGGTGTGAGGTGGGGAGCACACCCCTACTCGCAAAAGCTTTTATACAATGCTGTGGTACGAAGTCATTTTGATTATGGCACCTTCCTTTTAGATCCTGGTCCACGTCTATAATCTGCCGTCTTCGTATAGGGCACGCTTGTACTCCCGTTCATCTAGCCAAAATTAAAATAAAAGACAGTTATCTCTGTGAGTGTGGTATGGACGAGGGCTCGACAGACCATATATTTTTTAACTGTTCTGTAATTAATGACTCGTTATTTGACCATCTTTCTCCAGATTTCCCTCGTCCATGTAACCTTAACTCCCTACTTTCCCTCCCATCCAGCTCGATCGTCAAAATATTAGGGAAATTTATTTCTGTTAATAAATTAAAGTTATAAATAAGATTCTCCCCTTCATACCTTGTAGTAAAATGTTAACCTCTTGTATATATTATTAGATGTCTGTGTGTGTTGTATTTATTGTGATGTCATTTTTGTTTTGGGTAACTCTGCTTAGATAAAATTCAATGTATCAAAATGATCAAATCTATCCTCACCGTGTGAAGACTTAGAACGTGACATTGGCGGAATTGTGATTTACACAGATGTCGCCATTATAAATAAAGTGAAGTGAAGTAGCCTAGCGGTCTTATTAAGTGGCAGCTTGGTGAGGGGTACCGGGTTCGATTCCCGGTTCGAGGGCAAGTTTTCATTTAATTTAAATTTGTTCTCGGCCTTTGGGAGGGTTGTGTGGTACCGGGCGAGTGCTTAAACCGTACATGGAGGGCACAGTCGAATTTCTAAGGCAAGCCGTGAGTATGCTACCTAAGAAAGGAGACTGAAGGTTTAGAACGTAGCAATACGTTCTAGGCCGAGGATGGCAATTACAAGTGCGAATTATAGTGCGTTTTCCAATTACAGAGCATAATGCGACTCAGTGCCGCACAATGCCGCATTATGCTGAAGCTTAATTGGAACGTGAATTAGTTTTCAAATGCATCAGCAGAGTGCGCTAAGTCAGTGTAAAAAAAATGTTCTGAATAGAGTAAGCAACCTCATTAATGTATAAATAATGTGGTAAACAATAATAATTGGTTGAAAACTATTTACGCTTGTTTTAAGTAATTTGGATTTTGATTATTTCATTAACATTTTTTTACTGAAATAAGAGAAAACCTTTAAAGAATATAAGGTTTTAACAAGCTAAATTAACAGTAAAATATTTAGTTTCATGTAAGAAGTTTACATCATTTACGTTTTGAGTAATTTTTTTAAATTATTTCAAAAAAAATTATATACTTTTTCAAAACCATTGCAATGTTTACAAATTATAATACTGTAAAATAAATTTGTTTACAGATCCGAATTTTAAAATGAAATTGTATTCATATTTTAAATGTGGAATATAAAAAAAGTAACTATTTATACCTTCATCCATACTTATATTTATTTTTTTTAGCAGTTTGAAATAACTTTAATTATTTTCAAAATCTACGACGAAACGAAAGCCTTACAAATTTTTCAACAATAAATAATATTTACTAACGAAAATGTCGATCAATGCCAACTTAAAGAAAAACACTGGTCAATTTTCTGTCACTGTGTTGGTATTGATTGCGAGAAGGGGTTGGGTTTTGAATACCGTCGCACTTTCTTTATGATACTAACTATTTAGGAGTCTCGGGGGACCTCCATTGGAACACCTCCAAGTGATTTTTGCTGCAGGAAACGCGTCTAAGTATTTTTAATAAAAATTTAAAGTTTTGTGAAATGTATTGAAATTTGTAAACAATCCGCCATTTTCTACTTTTCTATTGGTTATTAGAGATGTGACGTTCACTTTAAAAAATCGTGTTTTTTATTTATCGATTATTTCCACATTTTTTAAATTTTAAGTTATAGAATAATCAACATTGAAATTAACCTAATTTCGTGTTGATAGATTATAGGGTTCCGAAATTTTTTGAAATTATCGATACCTACTCGTCTGTATTTCCTAATTAGTGTAGTAGTACTTGTATTTCATTGTTTGCAACTTTCTATATTATTTAATTTTTACTAGAATAAAGTGTTTACTTTAATATCCAAGAAGTACCAAAAACCGAATCAGAGCACCCCACTATCCACGTGGTCTTGTCTGTCTTACCCCTAGAGTGTATATAAATAATCGGAGGTGCGGAGGAAGAGCAGCCCCCACCCGCTGTAACAAAGCACAGGCATTATGAAAGCTGTAGCGGCTGAGGCTGGTCGCTGAAGGCGTTTCCTGTAGCAAAAATCACTTGGAGGTGTTTCAATGAAGGTCCCCCGAGACTCCTGCATAGTTAGTATCATCAAATAAGTGCGACGACATTTAAAACTGTTACCTTGAGCATTATGCCGCATAATGCGCTCTAGTGCTGTGATTGGAAAACGCACTAAAAATCTTATACTTGATACTGGCTAATGCACAAACCGTGCCAGAGCCATAAAGGAAAAAAAAAACTGTGAAACTTTAAAAAAAAATTAAAAGCGGAGACTCAGGAAATCTCCGAACACAAAAAAGCAATTTAAAATACAATTTATTTAATTTAATTTAGGTGTGAAGTTGTGGTATTAAACCATCGCAATTAAATATGAAGTTAAAAATAATTTTGTTAAACGGGTTACTAGTAGTGTTTGTAGGCCTCGTATAAAATGCCGAAGTGTGCGTTCAATGAGTGTAGAAATGTAACATCCCGACTTAAAAAAAGTGATGGAATATCCTACTTTCGGTATGTACATTAAATATACATTTCTTCTTTAAAAGTTCAAAACCTTATTACTATTAGATGTTGTTGATTTACAGCTTTCCTCGTAATCCAATTCAATGTGCAAAATGGGCTCGAATAGTTGGCCGGCAGAGAAATCAGCAGAACTTTAAACCCAATAGATCAAGTGTCGTTTGTTCAGAGCACTTCCGTGAAAGTGATTTATATGTCACTGATAAGGGCATAAAGCGCATTCTTAAAACTGCTGTACCCAAGGCAAGGCAATTTAATATAAAATTGTCTACAAAGTCTATGTAACATCTATGTTTTTATATACTGTTAAATGTTACAGATTGATCTTACTGAAGACGATGACGAATCTACCATATCTGAAGAAATAACTGATAGTTTGCTACTTGATATAGACTTTTCTGATCTCATTGACACCACTAATGAAATTATAGTAAGTTATAAGTCTGTTTTTGAAACCATTGACATTAGTTGTAGAAATCTGAATGTATACAAATTGCTTTTTTTTTCAGAATAACATTCCAGATGACATTTTTAGATCTGCTTTTGAAAACAGTGATGAATCATCTAAAAAGGAGTTAACTCCTAGGCCAGCGGACCCCACAGATATGATCTATTTCCAAGGGGAACTAGACAAACGCCGTAAAAGAATTATTGAAAAAGAAAAAGTTGTAAAGAAAAGAAATTATAAAAATCCTAAAAAAACTTCCTTATTTAAAACCACATTGAAGAAGTTGAAGAAAAAATTACGTATGAATGCCAGACTACACTCAAAGCCTGTTAAATCAATCTCAAATCTACCTAAGGAATAACTTTACTGTAATGTACCATTTAACTTATTCTAGTCATGAAAAGCCCACTAATTATACTGTTAAATAGAACTATGTACATATAAATAAGACTCAATTAATGTAACAAAATATAATAAAATTTTGTTCCTACCAACATTATAACAATTATAATTAATGTTACACCTTAGTTCATTATGCTTCTATACTTTATCTGATCTTGAAACAGTTGAATAAAAACTTTGAACTTCTTGTCATGAAATGATTTTATGCTTAAAGTAGGTTGTATGACATGAGATTTACCACCCATATTTTGAATTGCTGTTTGAACATTATTAAAGTATTGGGACGCACATGCACCCAATATAGCAGAGCCAACTAAAACTGACTCTTTTTCAAGCGGCTTCAAAATAGGTAATCCAACTGTGTCTGCTTGTATTTGAATGAAGAGAGGATCTTTAGCTAAACCTCCACAAATTAATAGTGATTTAAATGGTTCATATCCAGCCTGCATTAGTGCTTCAATAATATGTCTTGTTCCATACTGAAAAAGAATTGAGATTTAGAATATTTTGCTAATAAATTATTTTATACTTTGTGTTAAAAGACATCTTACAGCAAGAGCTTGCAGGGTTGCCAAATAGAGGAGTGCTAAATTTTCTTCACTATTATCAATTTTCAGCCCCACAATCATTCCAGCTAGTGTGGGATCCGCTAGTGGAGATCGATTTCCATGAAAATCTGGCCACATGTGGAAATCTCTGGTTAGTAAACTTACATCTTGATAACCTTTGTCCTTTGCCATTTTACTAAGCACCTGTCTTAAATGGCTCCGCAGACTAAAACAAAAGATAAAAAATCAACTGAACTGGATAAAAATAAAAACTTGACTGTAAAAATACTTACTTTCCAGTGGAATATGTTTTCAATAATTCAATACCAGCAGGATGGCCTGATATTACATGATCTAAGAGCATTCCAGAGGCACTTTGTCCAGCCTCATTTAACCACATGTTAGGCACCATTGCACTAAAATATGGTCCCCATATTCCATTCACCATTATGGGATTTTTATTTACTGCCATATGACATGTAGAGGTACCACAAATTAAGCTAAGACGACTTGACATTTGACTATCAATGTTTTCTCCCACAGTTCCAATCATTCCTAATCCACCAGCATGGGCATCTATAATAGATGTCGCTACTGGTGTATTTACTAGCAATCCAAAGGATGTTGCAACATTAGGTAACAAGCCCCCACAAAATTCACCTGGCATTAAAACTTTCTTGCCAATTTTAACAAAGTCATTTTCCACTAAATCTCCAAGCCCTACCTCATTTAAAAAATTGGCATTCCAGCCATGTTCACCACTTGATAAACATTCATAATTCCATTTACACACCAATGAACATAATGACCGTGTCTGTGAACCAGTTGCTTTCCAAGTAAGAAAATCTGGTAAATCAAAGAAATATCCACACTTTGACCATACTTGAGGTAAATGTTTCTTCAACCAGAGTAGTTTAGGTATTTCCATTTCTAAGCTAACTTTACCTCCCACATATTTGAGTATTTCATGTCCAGTTTTATTTATTAAACTTGCTTCTTCATGTGCCCTGTGATCCATCCACATAATTATATTTTGGTCATTATTACCTGTTTCACTTACACTTATAGAGTTGCCATTACCATCTAGTGCTACTAAAGAACAAGTTGCATCAAATCCTAATCCCTTTATTTGTTGAGGCTTAATACCTGTTAGAATATCCTGGAAACATTATTAATAAAGATAGATTTTAAATAATATAATATACAGTGTTTAAAATAACTTGTTTTTATGTATATATACACATAATTTATTGTACACTACCTTGATGACATATTCACAGCATTGCCACACATCATCCGATGACTGTTCATAAAAACCAGGTTTAAGTTTCCAGGTTTTAAGATTTTTTACAGAACTTCTTATTACACTTCCCTTTTCATTAACAAGGGCTGCACGGACACTTCCAGATCCCACATCTACTCCAATAAAGAATATATCTTGATCCATTCTATCAAAATGTGCTGTTTGATGGTCTTCTTAAATTCTGTTTTCAGTTCAGTAAATTAGTTTCCTAAGTAAACAAGTCGTATTTCTAAAAACCATATAAATATTCCACTGATATGTACAAAGATAAACTTTAAATTGATAACTCTAGTCTGTACTAAATGTCATGGCTTTACAGTGTTATTAAGATAAAATGAAATTAACAAAGATATAATAATAAGTAAGTACATGTGTGCTTTGATATATCAACAACATGAATTTCCTATCAAGCTAAGCAGATAAAGTTTATTGTACCTACTGTAATAATATAAATATAATGTGTGTCACAATCAATTAAAAAGTTAAAAGAAAAGTTATTTACCTAACAGTAACATTGTCTATATGTAATGAATGTGGAACATTGTAAGTTACGAATTAGGAACATAAATTTTTATACTTTTATTAATTTTATTTTAAGGTAATCAAAATCAGGCGACATGCTATTTTTTTAATTTGGAAAGTGAAATGTATAGTTAATAGAACACATATCATGTACTTTTATATTTAGAAGCAACAGTAAAGTGTGGTTGAACACCATCCATATTCCATAGACTATAAAAAGTTGTATACAACCTCCATTAAATATTGTACCTAGGTATTTTATCTATGTACATACAATTTATGTTTTCTTTTAATTATATTGCTTCTATGGTTCATGTTCAATTTCAAAATCTGTGTTCAAACTTCAAAACGTTATTTTTTACTTCTGCTTTATACTTTTTTAATTATCCATAAACCTTTTTAAAATAATTGAACAATGGTTAGATTTAAGAATAGGTAAGGGCATAAGTGTATCATAAAGCACTTTATAAAATATATATATATATATTTTACATTCGTATAGCTGTTTCTTTTATTCTAGATATATTACTATTGAAATAGCATCACCTGAAGTACCTGAAAGGCAACCACTATATTTAAAGCCATCGGCTATTTACGAAGCTATTTTAGCTAAAATACAACAACTCCATGGCGATTTTGGTGTAGCTGCAGTACGGACAGGATTTCTAACAAAATACTGTAATGAGAATACAAGAATAGCAATAATTAGGTGTAGACATGGTCCACACCAATTTGTTACAAGTAGCCTTCCATTTATTACTAAACTAGGACAATACGAAGTGACATTACAAACTCACCATGTAGGAGCAACTCTTAAACATAGTTTTATATTTATTCAGAGATATCATAGAAAATTTTTAGATTCAATGTGGTCAAATCTGCATAGCGATGAAGATAAAAAAGCCCTTGAAATTGCTGTTACTGAGTTTACAAGAGCTGATGTATCTATGATTAAAGACAATTTAATGTAATATCTTTTATTAAACATTTTTTGTTAGTTTTAATATAATATGTTGGTTATACAAATATATTTAAATGCTCCATCATACACATTCTACATTTTACATCATTTTAACTGTTACCTCCGAAGGAATAACTTTTTTCTTAATGTAGATTCAAAGATTGGTACCTGTACTTTTTGAACTCTACTACAAACATCTATCACTATTTTTGTAACTTTAGTGAAAATATCATGAATGTGGTCATGGTGTGCATTGTTTTTAACAATTACACATAAGAATTGAATAAAGAGTGAGCCTTTACTCTCTTGTCTAAAAGCTTCATATTCAGGTGCAGTAGCCCAGTATATCAAAAAATCTGATTTCCGTAAAAAAAGCTCTGATGAGGGCCCATCAGGTATTAGAGTCTGAATCGATGGTGATTCATCATTTACTTGACAAGCTTGTAATATCAATACCTTTGGTTTTCCATATAATTTGATGGCCAAATCAGAATCCAGCAAACATTGAATATCTTCAACTTTTATTTTCACTGAATCCGCAGCGTAAACATGTCCCCTAACACCATGTGATAATACGCATAGCACAAAAACACTGTCCTCATTATGAACTTTTTTTTTCAGCACATTTTTTAAAGAACTCATAAAATCTTTAGAATTTAAATTTTTGTAAACTACAACTTCAAAATTTAGTGCTTCCATTGTCTTTTGTAATGCAACTTGGTCTTTAGTTGATCCGTACCTAGTTGTAAGATTAACATGTATGCTTTTAGTGATATTCTCTTTTGATGGATAAAAGTCTTCTTGATTAATTATACAACATACACCAATACGATTTGGATTCAAAATATCATAAGAATCATCACATTTTTGTTTATCTGTCATTAAATCATTATCAATATCTTCTATTTTTAACTGATTTAATTGTTCATAGAATTCGTCTAGGTCAGTACCATCACACTTGCTACCAACATGGGATCTGTTGACATCTGAAGCTGTATTCTGTAAAGGACTATTTTTAGACATATCCTTAATAAAATAATTCTTTGTATTGTTGAGCTTACTTTCTAGCTCACTTATATAAACAGAATATGAACTCAAAACTGGAAAATGTTCTAGGATTTGAGTCAGTTTTTGATAATCTACTTTAGTGTGCTTGCATAAGTCATTTCGGTCCAAAATAAACTTTTTGCACATTAATTCTAAGAAAACTAGTTCACAGCTTTCATAATCGGTAATGTCTTGGTCAAATGAATGCAAAGTTTGTTTCAGAGTGTGTAATGTGTCTGTATTAATACTTTCACATAATCTGTATAAAATCTTTTTAAGTGGATTTATGTGAATGCAAAAGTTTATATTATTTGGAAGGTAGTGTTCTTTTACAGCTGATACATTTAAACCTAGTTTTTTGATCACACTATATTGTCTACATATACACAATGCTTCTAAAAATTCATATTTCCAGGTAGGTCTCATCTGAGCATGAGAAACCCAATGATAAAGCAAATTCATATTATCATTTACATCTTTTGAGACTCTTTGATACACTATTAGACGTTGAAGAGCAGTATCTGGAACATCATATAGAAGAAACACAAGAGATGTCAAATCGTAAGGGTCCAAGTCTTTTTGAATTTTTAGGACCACGTCCAAATTTATAGAGTTAATGTTTTGAAGAATTAAGTCTGACATATTCATAAGGTATAATAGGTACTTCCCTGAACAAAATCAGTAGAATTCAGACTGATAGCTTCACTCTTATTGATATTGAATAGTATCGAGATTCCACACGTAAAGTTATCCCATAGTTTATATAAAATAATAGCTCAAAAGTAATTTAGAAATTCATAATCTTTATAAATTTAAAACATTACAGTGATTACAGATTAGTGATACTAATTTTTTTTTTTTTTTTGGAGTTTATGGCCTGGTATCTCTGGACCTTTAGGCCATTAGTGATACTAATTACTAAATTGACCACAGATTTTAGAGGTGAATTAGTAAATAATGACTTAAGATTCCTAGGCATATTTGTCATGTCAGTTTTCACTTTTAATAAATATTAGCAAATAGCATAACGCGTCTTATTTATTTGTTATAGTTCTCCCTTTACCTTGTTATATTTTTGGTAGTTTATAATGGAGAAACGCCCTCCAGACCCCCCTGATCCTCCGGATAGGGTCTCTTCTCCGGTGGAATCAATGGATTTATCCACCCCACTGTTGCCCCAACCTGGTGTCAAGCGCAGACTTGATACTGTCAATGAATCTTTAGTGGAACCTTCCAAAAAACCAATGACTGATGTCCGGTCATCTGTTGATGACGTCAACCCAGGATTTTACTCCCATCCATCTCTCACTGGCTCTCCCAAGTCATACCTTGTCAATGACAAGGGCCCTTTTTTAGTCCATGTTTCTTGCCCTGAATCTGACCCATCCGCCGGTACATCAATCCGCCCAATTAAATTTGGTCACTTCTTGGTAAAAAATAAAGTAAGTAACATTGTTCGTGATGGTGTTAAAAGAGTGGGACGTAACAGAATATCTGTTGAGTTTAAGTCGGGCTTAGATGCGAATAATTTTGTGTCTAATCCCATTGTACCTTCCAGCAACTATTCTGTTACGATTCCTAACTATAATGTTTCCCGTATGGGCCTTGTGAGAGGTGTCCCAGCTGATTGGTCGATGCAGGAATTTGTCGAAACCTTGGAAATTCCCGAAGGTACAGGTATAGTCCTCAAGGCCAGACGCCTAAACCGCAAGACGAACTCCGATGGTCAAATTAATTGGATCCCAACACAAACCGTTGTTCTAACTTTTCAAGGTCAAACCCTTCCTGAGAGAATATTCTCTTGTCATAGTTCCCTCCGCGTTGAAACGTACCAACTCCCTACAATTCAGTGCCTTAACTGTTGTAGGTTTGGTCACGTAAAGTCACAATGCCGATCGAAGCCTAGGTGTTTTCGTTGTAGTCTAGCCCATTCTGGTGATGAGTGTAATATCCCTGAAACAGAGTCATTATGTTTATTTTGTACTGCCTCACACTTTGCGACCAACAAAGCTTGCCCTGAACATAATCGACAAAGAAATATAAAGAGTTGTATGTCTCAAGAGAGCATTTCTTATCTCGAAGCATCGGCTCGGTTTAGACCTATCAATGGCAAAACTTTTGCAGATTCTGTAAAAGCAACCCCCTCCTCTTTATCCCAGCCCATTACTTTACCTTCCCAAGTTTCCCGTCAGACTACATCTTACAGGAAAACTGTATTTCTCCCTCCTCGCTCTAGACCAACATCAGGAAAATCCTTTGATAAGGCGGCCCATGAGGCCATTACTTCCAATTTACCCTCCTCTTTACCCAATGGTTGTGCCGTAAGCTCCCCTTCCCTTATCAACAATGAAGTCTCCCCAAATGAAAATCTTCTTGACTGCTTATGGGCAGTCATTTGTAATATGCTATCCAAGTATGATGACATCCCCATACCGTCCCACGTTGCCCAAAAAAATTAATTTACTCCACTCATTCGTCACCAAAAATGGCGAATCTGGTAATTCAGAGGAACTGTAACAGTATTCGCAGTAAAAAATCAGAATTAACCTTTCTTATCAATAAATTCGCTCCATCTATTCTAGCCATTTCGGAGACTTGGTTATTGCCGGGTTCCCGCTTTAGGGTTTCTGGGTATCGATGTCTCCGAGATGACAGGGATGATGGCTATGCTGGCTGTGCCTTTTTGGTCAGCCGATCCCTCACCTTCCACTCATTATCTCTTCCTCATTGTGATGGTATCAATGCTGTTGCTATGAGAGCTTTTAATATCTCGTTTATTTCTGTTTATATTCCCCACCCCCATATCGACCTCATTTCTGATATACGTTCTATTATCCTTTCGGTTCCTCCTCCTGTTGTCATGTTGGGTGATTTCAATGCCCACCATGTTTCTTGGGGTTGTCATTCCTCAGATTCTTTTGGGTCCCTTCTACTAGATTTACTCGATGATATAAACATAAGTGTCTTGAATAATGGTTGTCCTACGAGAAGGAGTCTTCCATCTCAGAATCCCGCTAACGCAGTGGATTTATCACTTTGTTCTCCTGATCTTTTCCCTTTTCTATCCTGGCGTGTTTTTAAGAGCACTTGTGGGAGTGACCACTTCCCCATTTTAATTGATCTCCCAACCAATTTAAGGAGCGTTACTCGCCCTTCCCCTCTTTTAAAATTTAAACTGAATCAGGCCAATTGGTCAGACTTTTCATCTTCTATTGACTCTAAGATAGCTGCGCTCCCCGCAGTTTCTGTTGAAAACTGCCTATCTTCATACAATGATTTTGTCAACTCCCTCACCTCATCTGCCAGTTTACATATTCCACTCAAATCTTCTACACAAAGGAAAATTTCTCCTCCTTGGTGGGATTCCGAATGTACTGAGATGATTCGAAAAAGAAAAACGGCAGAGAGGTCATACAGTCTTTGCATGACCTTGGAAAATTTTTTAGTCTACCAACAAGCTTCTGCAGCTGCTCGCAGACTTCTTAATAATAAGAAACGTCTTGGTTGGCATAAGTTCTGTGAGAGCATGTGCCCTGGTACCCCTTCGTCTGTTGTTTGGAGGCAGATCAGAAGATTCCGTTGTTACCTCAATTCTTATGATGTCCCTTTTAATGATCCGTCTAGCTGGATTACCTCCTTTGCCGACAAATTGGCTCCTCCATCAGTCCCTTTTTATGATTGTCTTCCTTATAAGTATAATTCTTACATCCCCTCTTCAAACAGTCTAGATTGTCAATTCTCCTTGGAAGAACTTAACAAAGCATTAAATGGTATCTCTGACTCTTCCCCTGGAGAAGATGGAATCCCTTACTCATTCCTCATAAATTCTTCATTAGGCACTAAGAGGTACTTTCTAGATTTAGTAAACTGTTTTTTCGATCTTGGAATTATTCCTGAATCGTGGAACAGACAAATCGTCATTCCGCTTCTAAAACCTGGCAAAGATCCATCAGATTTCTCTTCATACAGACCTATTGCTTTGTCTTCTACCCTTTTAAAAATTATGGAACATTTGATTAAAATTCGTTTAGAATGGTTTTGTTGAAAGTAACAATATCTTTGCAAAATCCCAGTTTGGTTTCAGGAAAGGCTTAAGTACGATGGATAGCCTAAGTATAATAACGACCGACATTCGCATTGCTTTTAAAAAGAAACAGTTCCTGGTGGGTGTTTTCTTGGATATCGCATCTGCGTATGACCACGTGCTGGTTCCAGTGCTCAGGCAAAAAATGCTTCAGCTGAGTATTCCTGAGAAGTTGGTACGTTTTGTTTGCAATGCAGTTTCGAATCGTTATATTATTATAAGATCTCAAAATACGGAGCTGTCTCCTAGATCTATTTGGAGGGGCTTACCTCAAGGTTCTGTTTTGAGTCCCCTTCTGTACAACATTTACACCTATGACCTGGAGCTTGTTGTGAATTCCTTCTGTCAGATTCTTCAATACGCGGACGATGTAGCCTTATACTTTTCATCAAATTCTATTGAAGAGGCATCATCACGCCTAAATTCGGCTTTGGATTATTTGGGTGATTGGTTAAATGATCATGGTCTCTCTATTTCTGTGCCCAAATGCTCGGCAGTCACATTTACTACAAAATACAAGGTTCCACGGTGTAACATTTCATATAAAGGGTCCTTGGTATCGAGTTGTAAGCAAGTAAAATTTTTAGGCCTTATTTTAGACTCAAAGTTAAACGGTGTTCCTCATTTTAACCATGTGATTAAAAAAAGTGAGAAGGGTGTTAATGTTCTCCGTTCATTATCTGGTGTGAGGTGGGGAGCACACCCCTACTCGCAAAAGCTTTTATACAATGCTGTGGTACGAAGTCATTTTGATTATGGCACCTTCCTTTTAGATCCTGGCAACAAGCAAGCCCTTGATAAAATTTCCAAAATTCAATCGAAATCTTTACGCATCATCCTTGGTGCTATGAAATCCTCTCCCATCAATGCTCTCCAAATAGAATGTGTTGACCCCCCCTGTATTTACGTAGACAATTTTTAAGTGACCGCTTCTTCATCAAAGTCCTTCAATACTCTTCACATTCCATCTTGTCCAAATTACGTCGCTTATCTAATCTCACGATGCCATCTAGTACAGGTAATGTTCCATGCCTGTTATACAGTTTTAATAAACTTTCTCGTCTTCCTAATCCTATTGAAAGTTTCCCTAGTAATCCCTTGTTTTTAAATAGTTATGAATCCCTCATTTTTGATCCTAAAATAATTTTAAACTTTGGAATTGAAAAAAATCCACCCAAGCTTCCACTTGTTTTCTGGAAAAAATTTCAAAAGACTGGCAGGGTTGGTTACCGATGTATACTGATGCTTCCAAGATTCCCAATAATGAGTACATCGGTGCGGCTGTATGGGTTCCTTCATTCAAAACAGTATTGAGCTTTAAACTTCCTCCATTGACCTCCGTTTTTTCAGGTGAAGCTTTTGCAATCCTAGAAGCGGTTTTGTATGCTGAGTCCCACAACCTAAATAAAGTTACAATTTTTTCCGATTCTCGCAGCTGTTTACAGGCAATTCTTTCCAATCCATTCAGGTCTAAAAAAAAACATAATACTATTCTAAAAATAAGAGAAGCTTTGTTTAGGTGTAGTAAAAAAGATATTCATATTGTACTTTTGTGGATACCTAGTCATTGTGGTATAGCGGGTAATGAAACTGCTGACTCTTGTGCAAAAGGTGCTATTTTCTGCGGATCTTGTCAGCATCCCAACATCTCGGCCCACGACCTATCAGCTCTTGCGTACTCCCACCTTTTAAAATCCTGGACTATTGATTGGCAATCTTCTAAAGTAAAAACTGGCAGGCACTATGCTAATATTCAGTATTCAATCCCTTCTTCGCCGTGGTTTTTTAAATATAAGTTTTTAAACAAAAAGGTCACGTCTATAATCTGCCGTCTTCGTATAGGGCACGCTTGTACTCCCGTTCATCTAGCCAAAATTAAAATTAAAGACAGTTCTCTCTGTGAGTGTGGTATGGACGAAGGCTCGACAGACCACATATTTTTTAACTGTTCTTTAATTAATGACTCGTTATTTGACCATCTTTCTTCAGATATCCCTCGTCCATGTAACCTTAACTCCCTACTTTCCCTCCCATCCAGCTCGATCGTCAATATTTTAGGGAAATTTATTTCTGTTAATAAATTAAAGTTATAAATAAGATTCTCCCCTCCATACCTTGTAGTAAAATGTTAACCTTTTGTATATATTATTAGATGTCTGTGTGTGTTGTATTTATTGTGATGTCATTTTTGTTTTGGGTAACTCTGCTTAGATAAAATTCAATCTAGTAAAATTATCAAATCTATCCTCACTGTGTGAAGACTTAGAACGTGACATTGGCGGAATTGTGATTTACACAGATGTCGCCATTATAAATAAAGTGAAGTGAAGTGAAGCATAACGCGTCAAATGAGATTGACATTTTATAAATTATAAATCAAAGTTAATAAATTATATATTTGGAAATTTTTGACTAAGGTTTTTTATATTATATAAAATTACATGTACTATATTAGTAAATGTTCAAGTGTAATTTTAAGCTATTCACTTAAGAATATTAGGATGTCTATAACTAGAACAGAAGTTTTAAAATTATACAAAAACTTATTGTCCTATTCGAAGACTCTAGCGTTTACAGACATTGCATACTACAGGAGGAGGATTAATCACGAATTTCTAAAAAATAAGACACTCACTAAACCCGAAGACATCCGCTACGCATTCAAGGTATTGTTATAATGTTCCTTTCTAACTGACTAAAAAGGACGAAGGAGATGGGTATCTATTCAACGTGTATTATTTTATACACAGCTACCTCTGCATAAAATTTAACTTCTGAGGTTGAAAGTGGCAAAGAAAATTCAACTATATATGTTCTAAAAAATTTTTTTGTGACTGAACAATATTTCATTTTCAGAAAGGACAAGCACTTTTACAAAGAGGCTCTATTGTTTAGGATGTTTCCAAGACTGTTCTTCAATTTTACTAAACAAAAATTACCAGTCCTGGTTTGCTCTGCACCAAAACATACATTAGACTTTTCAAAAGTACCTAAAATTCAAGAACATGATTTATCTGAACAATTTGTTAGAGGAAGTGGTCCAGGAGGCTCAGCTGTCAATAAAAATGCTAATTGTGTTGTCTTGACTCATATTCCCTCAGGTCTGTTGAAGTTGTTTTTAATTTTATTTATAATAAAGTAAAGTACATCCTAATATTGCATATGCCTCTAAAAATGTCACACCTAGACTATTATCTTGTTTGCATACTTCTAAAAATATAACTTTTTTTATTGCCATAAGTTATTATATATATTAACATGTTTTACCTGAGCTTCTTATGCTTTTTAAGGTGTCATAGTTAAATGTCACCTCAGTAGATGTCAGGATGAAAACAGAAAACTTGCCCGAGAAATGCTTATAAAAAAACTAGATGAAGCTGTAAATGGGGAGGACAGTATAAGCTCTCAAAAAAAGCTACTACGGGAAAATAAATTGAAAAAATCAGAATATAAAAGGAAGAAAAAAGCTAAGCTGAAAGAAGAATGGAAGAAAAGGGAGGGTTTACTGTAATATGTAAATTTTAAATAATATAGTATTATTTAGGTAACAATTTACAAAATGAATACTTTATTTGGTTTTATTACTTTAACAAATGAAGAATTATTTCCTTGAAATGTTTTAATTTTAAACTCTTATCAACCTACCAATTTAGGTTTATTAAAAATTTGTCTTGCCTGTGCCTGTATTCTATTACTCTCAATAGTAATAAATCCAATAACAAACTTTATTTCTTTTAATAAAACACTATTTTGACGGTGACACCGTGACCACGCACGCTGTAAAGCACGCGAAACGTCGGATAAATTTAAAATTATGTTAAATAGTTGTAAATTTATAATAATACATAACTTCAATCCGGTCAAAATAGTGTTTTATTAAATGAATAAAAGTTATGTTAATCAAAGACAACTTTATTTCTACTTGATTTTTAATTATTTTTAATAATTAATAACTAAGAAGTTATGAAAATTATTCATTTTAGCCTTTGCTGTTAGCATTAGCCAACTTGACACATGTCTGCGTTTCATTATTTCAATTTGGTTTGGGTTCTACAACATAGGTTCTTGACAAGGGATCTCTTTTACACCTAGAATGTGATTAAGATGTTCTCAGAGAAAGTGAATAGCATGTATCTGAATTATTATTCATTATGGCCATACATTATACCATTAAAGTTTTGATGTACCAATCACCCGTCCTGGGGTTTGAGGCTAAATCACTTTTCTATAGGCGTGACCCACTTACTCTAAACGGGGAATGAAATTAGCCCACGCTTTATTTTGCCCTTTTTCATATAAATTCGTTCGGAATTTCTGCGTCACGACTGTAGCTGATACAAAAAATGTCTTTAAATGCGGTTTCGATACCGGTTACTGATCCCATCCATCCTTTTCAATCCTTACTGTGTTTAACGACATCTTTGTTGCATAATACTTGTTTATTACACTGTTTTTTTTACATAAATTTGGAACCGGTAATATAGATGGCAGACATACAGATATTTAAATGTTCGTTATTTAGATAATAACAATAAGACTATTATATCCTCAGCACTAGCATGCTTTTGAGCGACTTTTTAAATCTATTGTTTTGGCTTTTACGTCTCTAGTTTGCTGTACTACCCGATGAAGTCAACAAAATATCTGACGTGTTCATAATGGTCTGATTATCGTCACCAGCAAACTCTATCAGGCTTTCACCTCTTTTATTTCTTATACCATTTTTTCCGACTATATTATGATGGCCATCCAATGAGGCGCTTAATATTAAGGTCATTACTTATTATTATATCGTTTATAGGATTGTAGCCAAGCACACTTCTGTTCCACCGCTTAGAATGTGCGATGGCCACTCCAGAGCAACTATTTTCATTTCCCGACAAATAGATGGCGTGCTTTTCTGAGTTAAAGTGGCCGCTACTCTTCCAGTGTGTCTCGCGCAAACATCTGCCACGATCAGATATCTTTCAAGTTCCCGATCCAAAATTTAATTTTCTTTGCGGCAAGCAGTTCTCGAACATTCCAAAAACCAATACGACGATTCCTTCTCAATTTCAGTTTCATTTATATGGCCGGTAAACAAATTCACATTCCTAGCCTCGGAAAGCTACGTACTAGTACGACGGTCGCTACACGGATCGCTAGGCGGTGGCGTACCTACCTACTCATAATTGAACTTTTTATCTTCATAATGCGACATTCATGAGAGATTAATATAGTAGTTTCCCATTGATTTCTACAGCGCCATATCACAGCGTCAATGGCTGCGTGGATCCTTTAGTGGTACGGTTTGGAAATATTGACTTGCGCTTCTCGAAGGTACTGATGGCTGCTCTTCACAGCCCAAAAACGCCCCTATGGCTCGCCTCTTCCTCTAGGTTAGCCGTACCGACAGCCGCTGTCTTCGCCCTCCAAGTTAGGGTCTTTACACGTAACCGTTTATGGGTAAGGGACCTATGTTATACCCCATAGAGCTACCCTATTTGAACTTAGTCATTGGCTCCCTCCGGACCTACTGGAAGTAGAAAGGTCAAGCCCCGCGACGTGGTGGCCGAACAGGAGGGCCTAGGGACCGGGTTGAAGGTCGTGAATAAGCCCGGTTTATCAATGTAATAAAACAACATATTATAAATTAGTATTTATTTGCTAACAAGCGACTGTATATTAATTTAAAAAAAAAATCAACAATAAATAAAACGATATGTATCTTATGTAAGTATTGCAAAAAATAATCGATTGAGCACTTAATGTGATTATCACATAGAGAGCTTAACAGACTGTAAAATTGTTCAGAACCTTTTATACGGAACACAGCTTTCTTCCACAAAAATACAGCTGATTGCAATAACGCTGAGTGCCTACACACTTCGTATTTCTAACGCATGAAATGTATTTCTTGAGTGTTTTTTTTTTAATTTGACAAGTATTTTAGTCCTGTATTTCACTTATAATTAAAAAATTGCGATATTTGAATTAGTACTAAAACAAACTGCATATATACATTTATAAGACTGGAACATAAGGAAATGTATCCGCTATTAATATTTATACAAGCACTGTTGAGATTATGTGTAATGTATGATAAAGGAAAATAAATAAAAATAGCGAAAATTTATTCAGATAAAATCTTTCGAAAATATGTTTATAACAACAATGCTAGAAACGAAGGAAGTTTAGCTAGACACTGTGTCTGGCGAGAAAACAGCAGGTAGGCTCAATATCTCATGTAAAATAAAATTTACAAAACAGGTAAAATATGTCTCCTCAACTTTCATCAAGTTATTTCTGAAAATTGAGGTTTGTATTAATATTATCTAAATAATTACACCCTTAATAATGCTATAGTCATTTACAGCGTGTATCCAGGCTAGTAACAAATAATGATAATTAATCATAGCTTGCGTAACGCGAGCGTTGCTGCAAATTGGCCGACATTGCCATCCTTGACCTATATATCGGATTCTCTTTGTGCCCCGCTAGTTCGTTAATGGTCGTGACTCCGAAGAGCTTTTCAGGAAAGTAATTTCATACGTGACACCTTTATGATACCACAAATCTAACTTGCAAGACAAGACTTTCCCAAGTTATTGCTCAAAGGCGCAAATTGGACGCAGGCTTTAAATTAACAAAGTTTCTTTTTGATGCCAGGTAAGATCCAATCTTATTTAAAATATTTTTAACTTACAATAACAAATTAAATGAAATATTCAGAAAGTTTTTGGAAGATTGCGGTTTAATTTTGTTGATTAAATTATTTACTTATGGGCTTCTCGTAACTGTTATTTAATCATAAGGTAAATACTGAATATAGGTGTAAATTTTATAAATAATCCTCGTATGTTTAGTCCCAATCTGACTGACGGCTGCTTTGTGCATAGAAAAAAAAGGGTAACGAAATTTAAAACAATAATTTTGGTTTGGTGTACCTTCTACAACCATGGAGTCTTTCTGTGCTGACATAATGTCTAATGTGTATACATATTTCAATATCTAAGAACAAGAATAACTAGGTGTCCACTCTTATTGTAACGCGGTTTCAATGGCAAGCATTTAAGTATTAATAGGAGTTAAAGTTCGGATCAATACGACAAAATTTTATTAATGAAATAAGGTAATACGTTGCTGCGTTTTTAAGCTCGTTCTTTAATCGGCAGCTCATGTCTGAGCGTCGTGGTCAGCAAGAAAGCGTCTGGAGCGGACTATCTGTTTCGTTTTTAAGCTACAGGTGTATAAATCTGTTAAAAAATCGATACTAAGTCATTTGCTCGTCTGCCTCTGGGGTTAATGGTCAATAGGACCATTTAGATAACGAAGAAATACTATACATCCTGACATTCAGACAGAGGTCTCTGCATTGTTATAGGAGGACGATGTAAAAAAAGCTCTACTAAACCATTGCATTTTTACATTTCTTATAAAAGGGGCCGTCTATTAACAACGCAGCGCTACTACCATGGTGGTAGACGTGCTCCTTAATATTTATTCTAAGTAATATATAAAGGAAACTGTTCTCAAACTATTACTTAGAATTTTAAAAACCCATAATTTATTAGGTATTTATAACAACAGCTGTTCTGAATATTTTAGTCGAGGTAAGGAATGAGTTTGTTTATTTTCTTTTAACAAACTTGGAGGAGTTCAGAACAGTTTATTATCTTGGGGTTTCAAGCAGTTTTGATATAAACGAAAGATTGACCTTACGTCAAAGTTTTGAGGCTACCTGAAGGAAATTTCTTAATATTCGTTTAGGGAATAAAGTTTTTGAAGCGAGGGAAAAGGAAGTTAATATTTCAATTAAATTAAGGTTTCAAAGGGAACAAAGTAATGATAAAATTTTATTTACATATTTTTTTATAATAATTTTAATATATGTCTTGAAATATCCGCTTTGTAATAACTTTTTGGTTAAATCAGATGGTTCAACTCCCGTGGAAGCAAAAAATACATCTACGTATGCATTATCGTTGTTCAAATCGCATTTCCTGTGATATTTTATATAAATATATTTGAACTCTTATATTATTCTAATTCATGGTAGAGATTTATGAGTTGTGACCCGTAAGTAAAGTTGCAAGCGGAAACGGAAGTATCGCGCGTCGTACAACTGAAACTAATGGTAAATTGTCAAAGTGTAAATAATATACACGAATAGCAACTGTATATGTGTTTTAAAATATTTAATATGCTTTTTAACATGTCAAGAAGCTCTTATTATAAAGCCTGTATGCTGTATTCTGATTCTATTTCATTTGATATACATATAAACCATATGAATATTGTAAGAGAACACTTATAACTTGCATAAAAAATGTTTCGAAAAATCGTTTAGTTCACAGTTCATACATCAATAAAAATATATTTACAATAATGCGAATACAAGATCATTTATTTTAAATCATTTCAAAGTGAATATTTTCCTTTAAAAAATGCGCGCTGAAGTTGTTTCATATTGTTATTATATACATATTATAAATTCAAGATACATATGTGTTTCTATAAATCCGAGTTATG